TAGGTAGGAAAAAACAACAAAACGTATGGCGGTGCTTCTGCAGCGAGCGCTAATCAGTCACCGAGGCCTCTGCTGTAAAACTGCTCAGAACAAGCTGTGCCCTCCCCCCCCCCCCCCTCCCCCAAGGGGTGAGGCGAGGAGAGACTCCCTGTGCTGGTGAAAGCTGGGAGTGTGACAGCCAATTAGAGTCCGTGCAGACACACAGGACTCACTCTTTTTTTTCCCGCCGCACACAACAGCTTGCACATTTTCTCTAATGAGCTCCGACTGCTGAAATAACCCAAAAAACAGGATGAATTTTTAACTCTTACTCGCTTGCCAGAAACTTGCACAGTCGGCAAAAATGTAATCATGTTGTCCTTTGGCTTTCCAGAGGTTGTTTGTTTAGCATTGTTACTTTGCACTTTCCTATGAACAAATGTATAAGGTTAGTTAATGCAAGCAACAATATTTGTCATAGAATTATCTTTCTAAAAATCACATTTACACGTCCCGGAGTGCTAATAAGGTTATTGAAAGGAACTGTGAGCTCACACGGCGCATGCCGTAAGGAGTTACATGTAATATTAAAATGTATCTTTGAAATAACACTTGAGCTAACAACTCCTTTGCTGGTTGCTTCATTTTCAGAATGTTTCATATCTGCCAATATTTACTGAACCTAGAATGACCAAAGTTGCAACCAGCTTCTTATCCGTGTCCTGCGATAAGAGGAAATGTCTGTGCACAAATGCCTGACACTGGTTTATGAGCCATTTATTACCAAAAATCTAATTACAGGCTGCCACATGGTGCTCATTTGGCCATTCCCGTCTTATTCCCGTCTCCATAATTAGTTTAGGCACAGATGAAAAGGGGCGCAAGCGTCTGAGACTACAAACAGGCCTGTCGTACCGAGACGCATAAAGCGTCGCCTAAAAAACATGGAAAGGGCTGCGCTTATTAAGACTGTGTGAGGCTCAATGGCGTTTCCCTACTAGGATACGATTTCAGGTCGTCGCAGTCTTTCCATATAACATTGATCATGCTACACTTATGCAAAGTTGACTTCAAGTACATTCCTTTCCAAAGCTGCAAAGTCAGTTTCAAAAAGGGCAGGGCCAACCTTGATTAGTCGCCTGGGCAACAATCACGCTTATTCTGGAGCCCAGTGAACCCAGCAGGTCAAATGAGATGAAAGTACCGGCCTAAAGCCTTCTACCTACTTCATTCATCACGATGCCGTCACACACGCGCACACAATACCTTAAAGATCAACATACCGGTGCATTGGTGAATTAGTTCAATGTGACGGTGAAATAAATCACACATCGGGGCCCTGGAGCCATCGTTAGGGTTACATACACCCGCTGTGATTTCTCAAAAAGCCTTACAACAGAACCCCCCAATTGGTTGTTAAGTATACCTGCTGGTTCGTAGCCGGCAATTCCCCCTCACTCATTTCCTAAGTGGTGTAATTACATCTAATGAAATACGTTATTGAGCGTCTCTCCTCCGTCGGCCCTCAAGATACTTGTGAAGAGCTCTCAGCCGCCTGCAGATGGGAGGATGACTTCAGGTATTCGGCCTGACGACGGACTCTACTTGTGGAGATTTATTCCCTCCCCCAGCATCAGCAACCGGTCAGTTCCCGCTCCACAATATCAGCAGTTTGGTTAAATCACGAAACTCGTCTTTAATCACGCAGAAAAATAGCCTGTGTCACTGCCATTTCTTTTATAGATAGTAAACCGCTTTGGAAAGATTGACTATGGATTTTAGTTTTGTTTTTTAAAAGAACTAAAGTACTTATACGTGGGATTAAGGCATATAGCACTGAATTGTTTCTGACATTAATGGCTGCAACTAAAAGTGTATTTATCTCTGACACATAATTCAAATATTTAGTGTATGACATGTCAGAAAGGAAATGTACATCAGATGGGATAGAAATACATAAATATATTCAATGCACAGCAATATGACACCAGGAGAAGCAGCTGATCATAGTATTTGGCTTGAAAAACAAATGTTAAAAAAAGATTATCAACCATTTTTTGGTCAATTGACCAATTGTCTTGACTCCACTGTCATATATTTTATTAAAACAGAGTTTGCAAAACCCTTTCTCCCTTCAGCCTGTCTTCCCCATGCACATACTTCACGCAGAAGAGAGCTAAATTATACACACAAACCCTGTAATCCTGCCCTCCTAACCAATAAATCCTCTTGTTATCTTTCCACAGCAGCAGCCTCGCTCGCCGTGTCCTTCTGAAACGCTCTTCCTCTCCCCCTCCTGTGCACGCTGGCGTGGACCATAACGGATTGACTCAGCCCGACAACAGCTGCCAGAACCCCGCAACCTCCCCCCCTCCAGACACTGATGGATTGTGGGAGGCGAGCCAGGGTGATTAGCCCCTGACATGAGAGAATTATTCGCAACGTACCACCCCGAAGGAGGCGGCAACCCGCGTGACAACGAGGGGCACTCGCTCAGCGTCCAGCTGCCTGCCGCCGTCCGTTCAGCCTTCCACCGCGTCTTTTTACAGCGTAGTTGTGCTCCGGTTTGCCACTTTCACTCATGCCATTCAGTCCTCTCTTGCCTGTGGTCAATAATAAAAAGACATTTGTCCTTCAAAGAGAATACAGAGAACAATCTGTCCTGGGTTAATGCAGCCGAACTCCTCCTGCCTCTTCCAGCGGGTGTTCGTAAGAGAAGAGGATCTGTGGAGCACTCAGCCATTCGGGTGGAGTTGACTTAAGACCTCGGCACTCGGGGCGAGAGAGCGCAGGACAGTTTGTCAGCATGCACGTCCCAGCTTCAGCGGCCTCGACGTGGGGATCCGTCCAGACTCTCATTCGCTTGACACGCCAATTAATCCCCCAAGCCTCAAAGTTCAACCCTACAGAAAAACTCCCTCAGTAGAAGTTTACCCGCCCCGCCCCCCCCCCCCCCCTGACAGTGTGGTGATGCTGTCAAACCACACCAAAGTGTTCAGGAGAAACTCTTGAAAAAGGACCCTGTGCTTCAACACCAGGATGGGAGAACTTTGGTGTTAATCATTACTGACCAGCTGGTCTGCGTGCCGGCTTACAAAGCCTCCAAACAAAATACACAACTACTGAAGCAGCCAATTTAAAGTCATACAGCAGTTTTGGGACGGCTATACTTGCCAAAAAAATGTAGTTTTAAATCAGGAAGAAAATGCCTTTTCGAATTGCAATCTAGCAGCTCGATGAGATTTCTTTTTTGTTTTCCCAACCATCAACATGAGTCGCAGCGCAAAACGTTCTGCATTAATTAAAAATGAAAGATTCAGAAAAGAAAAGCATCCGGCAGGCGTCCAATTGATGAAAGAGGGCCGCACGACTACGAGCGTCTCACCACATAATGAAATGCTGATGTTTCAATTACTCTGCATTGAGGCATTTGTTGAATACCGTGTGACCACAAGTGGAAAAAATTAAAATAACAAATCTCTCACAGACAGCATGGTAGTCATGTAGTCTCCCTTGGAGAAAAAGATCGATACCCTTTCCCTCAATAGGACTCAGTCATATTAATGCATGCTGTGGTCCAATGTAACATAACAGCAGTGAGTTCAAATCCCACATCCTTCTATGAAATAACAAAGAAATGATTATAAAAGCCCACACAAATCAGATGAATATTTGGGGTTTTAAAATGCCAAATTGAAGTCACCAAATGTGTTTACACCGAGCGCCTTTATTTTCCCCAGACTGGTAAATTCAACTTGATATATCATGTGATTTGACAGTAGCACCCCCTGTTCAGCAAAAAGGAACGATAATGATGACAGCCACAAATAAACTGACCACACAGGTCGGGGTAAACAATTCTGGTACGACCGCCGTCAAGGGCTCAACTTTGGGCTCAGAAACTGGGAGTGAAAGTGATGCACCGGGTCATAAAAGCAACGCGGCTGACAGGAAACCTCCGTGTTCCCACTAAGCATCCTACGCCGGGCCTAAATACAGGCTACCGGGGTGCGTTTCCCCAACTACAAGAGGCCGGCTTACACCATTTATCCCTGCAATGAATCCTTCCTTCATGCAGGTTGGAATGGTCCAACTTTGTGTGTTTGTGATACTTGCTACTTAACTTTTGACATTTCAACTATATTATATGGAAACAAAACAGTGTAATTGAGCAAAACAACAAGCTGCAATAGATGCTGACCTCATAGCGAACACATTACAAGTTACTGCTCTCATGCTCGAAGGCAAACAGGTGCAACACGACAAAAACGAGGCGAACATCTTTGACGTGTCATCTCGTTTTTAACGAATAGCGTGTGGCAGAAACTATGGTCGGTGTATAAAAGCATGTTGACTATATAACATGCTCATTGCGTTTTTTGCATGATTGGCACGAGTATTCCTGCCAGTATGTGAGCTTGCCAATAATCACAATAGATGATATGGTTTTTTTTAATGAAGTTAGGCGTGTCACTCGTTATGAGGCACGTTTTATGAGTTGTGGGTTTGAAATCCCATGCGGCGGTTTAAGGGTGGGGGACACATCTCAACGTGTTTCGATTCCCTACGTGTCATCTACGGCAGTCATAGACACACTTCAGGTAACGTGTGTGTGTGTGTGTGTGTGTGTGTGTGTGTGTGTGTGTGTGTGTGTGTGTGTGTGTGTCGGAAAGGCACAGACTACACCGGGCTTCGGTTGACGTGTGCGATCAGCCGCGATCAAAGCAAAACACACTCACGACTTGCAGCGGCCACGAAGAACGACACAGCTGCACGAAAGGTCTTTGCAAAAAAAAAAAAAAACCTACCAACCTTTTAATATTCAGACGCGATGAGGACAGTGGAGCTGGGGACTATTGTGTTGAATATGGTCAGGCGCGGGGGGGTGCAGGGGAAAGACACAAGGGGCCATATGTCTCATCTGGCCAATTAGCTCGCGCGCTAGCCTGCTACGAACACAACAAAATGCATTGGCTCTCAACTGCACTGGGACAACAACGTTAGCTTGGGCTGCTACTCACCCCACAAGAAGAGTCAAGGATGTCCTCCTCCTCCTCCCTCCTGCCCGGAGAGAAAAACGGAGTCACAGCCGCGTGGCAGGTTGGTCAAACACCCCGCTGTGCTTAATTTGAGCCGGTACGGTCACCGGACGAGCCTGCGGCGTTGCTGCGTTTTCAGCTCGCGCCGCTCACAGCACCATTAAAAGCTGCATTGTTGGAGCGACGAAACAGCGACGACAGCGCGCCGCGAAGGATTGTGGGAAATGGTGTTTTTTTACCGTAACGTGTCATTCGGACACGTGAAAAAACTTGGAGAATCGCTCCACCAGGTGGTGAAAAAAACGAATGCATTTTCATGATTTGATTAATAATATTCATCATGAGGTTTGCACCAAAAGAGCTTGCTTAAAACGCAGCACGGTGCATTTAGTCATTAAGAAATACACTTTAATAACTACGGTATGCTTTGCTTAATATTAACAGGGAGAATATACTCGCATTTGCTCCCGAACTCTTACATTTGGACTTCTATTTCACTTTTCACAATTCCATGAATACAATATTTTTCAATTTCTCAATTTCAATTTCAAGTGTCCAAGAGCTGCCAGTGAGGCGGAACTTTAACAACCACCCTGTAGGTGTCAGCAGTGAGTCCGTTTGAGAGCAGACGTCACACTTAACTGCGGTAAAAGAAGACTCTCCAGCGGTCGCACGCTGATGACGCACGTTCCGTGAAAATGGAGAGAAAACACATGTCGGCCTTTTCTTTGTATCAAACGTTGTCAACAGATGCGCCTTCTCCAGGAACGAAGCCTTCTCAGCGGGTAATGTTGGATAATATTTGTACGATGTGGCAGAAAGTGATACAGTGGTCGGCGCCGTGCTCTGCGATGGCCTCACTGCTTCATGAGGGACAGTGCTGCATGGGGGACACTGCTTCATGGGGGACAGTGCTGCATGAGGGACAGTGCTTCATGACACCAGTACAGTCCCTCTGATCGTTAATAGCTGTCTGCTCTTCATTTCTCCAGGCTAACCATGCATGTATTGTCACTGTGTTTTAGCCTTATGGTCACTTGTATGATGTTCTAGGTGGCAGATAAGAAGAAAAGGAAAAAGGAGAATGGGGCCAATAAGGTCCACACAATAAAAGCTCAGTTAAAGCCTGAAAGGAAGAAAAAGCGAAAGAAGCTTCTTATGTCTCCACAAAGAGAGGAGAGCCTTAAGGGCTTTACAAAAGTAAGTCTGTCCCTGCTGCAAAGATGGATGCAATGGGGCCTCTTTTCACATCCAAGAAGTTATCTTTTTTTCACTTGTTTATTACAGTAGTGTTGCTAGTATCATTAAGTCATCATTATTGTTATTATTCTTTTGACGATGAAATGACCATATTGTTCAGTTATTGTTGATGGTGTTGCGTATGCTTCTGATGCAGGACGAGGAGTGTGCAAATGGAGACGGTGAGGCTCTGGATGCTCTGCTGGCCGACCTGGCAAACGTCAACAACAGCAGGGAGAGAGCGAGCAAGCTGTTCCAGTGGCTCGTCAACCCCGTTCCTGCCAAGTCCTTCTTCAGGTAAGAATGTTTGGGAGGGCTTCTCTCGGTGCGCAGACTGTACATGTATTTATTTTACATAGATCAACACAGATTTCTTTCAGAGAAAGGTGAATTCGCTGACGAATATCTTTCCTCTTTCCGTAGTGAAACGTGGGAAAAGAAGCCCATTCTTGTTCAACGTAAGAATTCCGATTATTACAAAGGACTGTTCTCCACAGCAGAGTTTGATCGCATGTTAAGAAAGGTAAGGATCTGAAACGTTACCTCGTCCATTTTTCTCATATGCAGTATTTTTACACCTGATGTTGGAATTGGTTGGTTACGTTATCATCCAGAATCATATTGTTTATGTTAAAGGAGTCTTCTTAAAACGTGTGAAAATTACGATGGTACTGTCCTTCATTTTACATAAACAACAACAGAAGACATGTATCCACCAAAACATGGATTTACATTTGCAGGCTTTATTAGCACTTATAGGAATTGCTCACCCCTATTAGAAGAGTTCTTGGTATGTAAAACTGAACTCAATGTCTGCATTGTTTTCATTAAAGGAGGATGTTCAGTATGGAGTTAACCTGGACGTCACAAGCTACACCAACGGCAAAAGGAAGACGCACAATCCTGCTGGGAGAGCTCTGCCGTTCACTGTGTGGGACTTCTATGAGGTAAGGCCACACTGATTCATTAAATAGCCATTGGATGTATGTTTATGTTTCTTATCACCATCGTGTCCTCATTTCCCAGAACGGCTGCTCCCTCCGTTTGCTGAATCCTCAGGCGTTCTCCTCCACAGTGTGGAATGTGCTGTCCATTCTCCAGGAGTACTTTGGCAGCATGGCAGGAGCCAACGTGTGAGTATTTTGGACAGTGACTGTCTTGGATAGACATCTTGGCTGCTATCAACTGTTAAGTCTGTGTATTTGGTCCTTGTTGAGCCAGATACCTGACACCACCTGGGACGCAGGGCTTTGCTCCCCATTATGACGACATCGAGGCGTTTGTGGTTCAGCTGGAGGGGAAGAAACATTGGAGGGTGTACAACCCAAGGTGGGCCACAGAAAGGAGCAGCGTTCAGTCAAATGCAGAAAATAGATCATTTAAACTTTTTCAGATAGAACATTGAGTGACGGGTTCTATTCATTTGCACTTTACATTTATTCACCCCATGTTACACAAAAGGTTAATAAATTACGTTCATAATTAAGTGACAGATTATTTCCACGAAGTTAATTACCTACTTTTTCACAGGTCAGAGGACGAGGTCTTGCCTGTGCTTTCAAGTGGTGAGTCCAATCTTTTTGTCTTCCGTAGTGAAAACAATTGGTCTCAATTCGGTTTGAAACAGAAGTTACAGGCTTCTTTGTACGGTCCGTTAATGGTTGCACACCATTACAAAGGGAACGGTAACTAACTGCACAAATGCAAAGGAAGTTCCTACTTGAGGCTCCCATCCCACAATCAAAGCTCTTTAAATCCGACATGTCTTTATCCCTCTGATGGGACTGCTTTACGTGTCCCTCCAGCAAACTTCAATCAGATAGACATCGGGAAGCCCATTCTGGAAGTGGTACTGGAAGCCGGAGATCTCCTTTACTTTCCCCGGGGCTTCATCCACCAGGGCGACTGCCTGCCAGATGCTCACTCCCTCCACGTCACCATCTCCTCCTTCCAGAAGAACAGCTGGGGGGATCTGCTACAGAAGGTAAGACGGTCGGACACTGGCGTGGTTAACAAAGGGTACACTTGCACCTTTACTGATGAAGTATAGTGCACATAACTATAGTGCAATAACCGATAGCATTTCCAACATGATATTAATGAGAAATAACTGACACTTATTGAAAGCTTATACGTGTTCTTCTTTAGTGAGTTATTACCATGTTTGCAATATTCCAATATTTCTTTTGGGGTAAGAGTAGTGTAATAGATGACCCATTTTAACTAGTTTTTCATATTTGTATTTTTAAACTGAAAAATGCTGCTTTTGAACTACCCCTCTTTTCAGGTGGTTCCAGTAGCATTGGAAATAGCAATGGAGGAGGATGTGGAGTTTAGAAAGGGCTTACCTCTGGATTACCTGACGTACATGGGAGTACAGAACTCTGACAAGGTAGATCATCAGTCATTTTGTCTTCATCACTTCCTGTCCCCGTCGCCACATTAGGGTTTTTAACCCGTCAATGATCGATGTCCTCCTCCTCCTCCTCGTGCACACGTGTGCAGGCTGACCCACGCAGGACACAATTCCTTTCACAAATCCAGAGACTGATGAAGAAGCTAGCGACTTACTCCCCTGTGGACGCAGCCGTGGATCAGAAAGCCAGAGACTTCTTCCATGACTGCCTCCCTCCAATGCTCACACCAGGTATGCCATGCACACGTCCGTTCTGGCAATAATCTTTGAAGAAATCCTGCTGTTACGTAGAATTGTCTGGATCTGGTCCCTCCGGGACCCAATGCGTAACGCCGCTGACTCTGTTTAACGCCGTCTCCCACAGAGGAATTGTCCAGCAGTGTTCAAGGAGCATCTGCCAGGTGGGAGCATGGGCAAGTCGTGGATGTGGGTTCACAAATCACCGCTCAGACCAGAGTAAGAGTTCTCCGTGCTGGATGTGCCAGGTAATGCCACTTTTTATTGCATTTCAGATCAGGGTCACACCAGGCAAGTTGGGAATGGACTCATTTAAAATGTGGAGCATTGTGTATTAAGAACACCTTATACAATTATCCATTAAAGCAGCATTGTAAAAAAAAAAAAAACTAATTGTTAATGGAACCTTTTCCTCAGGTTATGCAGTGATGGAGAGGCTGTTAATCTTTACTACACAACAGAAAACTCCAGAGTTTACCACAAAGAGGAGCTCAAGAGTTTTGAAGTAAAAGCAGAGGTAATAATGGAAGATGTTCAGACTATTTTCGGTATTTAGTGTCCCAATGATGTCGTCACAGACTAGACTTAATTGTTTTTCTTTCAGCACACGGATGCCATCGAGTTTCTGATCCATTCATATCCCAAATTTTTGACTGTGGGAAGTTTCCCATGTGATTCTACGGAGGACAAGGTATGTGGTTTTAAGTGCACATGGTCCGCATGCATCTGTGTACCGCTGGGTTTTTAAGTGCTCTTGTATTTGATCGTGTATTAATTTGGTAAACCTTTCTTCGATTGTATATTGAATGATTAAATGTCCCATCTTAAATCTGGATTCTAAATGATCATTATTTGAGCCTCTTTCTGTGATATCTGCTCTTTTGAGTTCCTCATGTTTCTATTTTATTCCCAGGTCGCTTTGGCGGAGTTGCTCTTTGAGAGGGGGATTATCCACACTGCAGAACCTCTGTAGAGGCCACAGATTCTTCAGCCATGCTGACTGCATGAATAGATGCCTCCGGACAACATGATCCAAAACCACTTATTTTCACAAAAGTAGTCTTCATTGTCTTCTACTGTTGTAGTCACACACAACAATCAAATTATTAATGTGCTCTGTTCAAATAAACCAGTTTTTAAAAAAAGAATGAAATGGTGTAATCTGTACTGCTGTATCTCAATCACCAGAACGTTCAAAATGATGTTAATGAGAAAGGGCATGTTTATTATCTGTTGATACAACTGATTAACAGAGATAGTCTTCTTAAATATTCTGATTTGAGGGACACTCATCATTCACACCACAGGTGACGGGACACATTATCCAGGTGGAGGTGGCCTACTTCCAGGTCGTCTCCTCACCAGGTTTCAGCTCCCTAAAGAGAACAAAAGTTACATAAGCAGCCACACTGCTGTTCGATGACCGGCAAGTTTTCAAACTGCTTATTATCAAACCATTAAAAAAAAGAAGCTAACTGTACTCTCTATGTAAGGGATCGTCAAATGCACATGGTAAAACAAGTACAGGCTTTACGCTGCCATCTCTAATGTTTAGAGTGACTGGGTTGGGTGGAGTAACTATTGGATCGCTGTTGCAACACTAACTAGTTAGTTAGTGTTAGTGTTAATGTTAGTGCTGTTGTTTCCCTTACTTGCTATACATTCTGCTTACTTGTATTCGTAGTAATTAGTTACAAGTGGAGGTGAGTGAGAATCATCACATAACTTTTAAATAAATGTCACTGGATTCTCAAAAACGAGGTGGTGCTGCTTAACTTTGAGACAGCTGGGAGATGACTTTTCATTCTTACCTGCTATACAAAACACTTTTGTTCCTGAAAGCTGTCAGCTTCTGGTCCTGCTGTTTGTCCAGGTACCATCCAACCACGAAGCCCATGGGCACCAATATGTTCACCCAATGATCACGGGCAAGTGATAGGAAGTTGACCATGGTTCCTACAGAAATAAGCACATAACATCGTCACCCTAAATTCTGCAGCACTCATGTTAAAACACCTGATCTGAACGAAACTACTATCAATTGTTTAAGGAAGGCCATCTTTATTTGCAGGAGCTCCATTAAACATGTGACAATAAAGCTACATATTTCAGATTAGGGATGCATAGTAATACAAAACTAAACCCATGTTGCGAATCATGACAGGTGATGACAACCTTTGGACGACCTAATTTGCCTGGAAACTTACGTTACGGCTGACAGTGACATAATGCAGCGAGTAATGCTAACTTTAGACAGACAGAGCTGTGAGCTAACTCGTGTGTGGTGAATGTAATCTCTGAACCTCATTTAATACCGTTTATATTCTACTTTGTCATTTAGTAACCAACAGCAGCAGCTCCTTAGCTAATCGGTTAGCTAGCTAACTTAGCAATGTGTATCGGGTTTAAGTTGAGAATGGTATTTCTGTTAGAGCAGTTGCTTTTGTGTTTTGCAAAAGCAACATTGTATGGTACAATTACTCAAATATGTAAGAGGCACAACGAATTTGTGAAACATTACCTTCTGTTTACACCAAGCCGTGGCCTGTAGCTCTTCACTCACAAGGCAGAGGACATTGGACTCTACCAACTCTGAAAATGCGACAGGGTATTAAGAACAAATAAAATAGATTGCCGTTACTTATCATGGGTAATTGTGTTAGTTGCAACGTATGGATAACAGTATTCAGGCACAGTTATTACAGTATGTAATGATAATATGAGCATTTGGTGTTAAAATCATTTTAGTATTACACTACCATACTTGGTACGCTCTTTCGACCTTTCACACATGATGGAGCGGTAAACATGTCCGCTACTCCAGTGTGTGCAGTAAACGCTAGCCAAAATGTCTTAATGTTGTAATTATAGAACATTTACCAATCGTGTTTCTGTATCAACGGGAGAAAATATATTATCTCGTATTTAGTGGTACGTTGCACTTTCCTTTGCCGACCCAAATCACACACGATACATCCACGAGCTAGCCGTTAGTGTTAGCTAGTGTAGCTAGCATGCTAACTAGACAGAGCCTGCCGGCTAACAGTTAGCCTTACTTTGTTACCATTGCTAGTGCAAACTAGCTGTGGCAGGCAACCATACTGCTTTTCTTTTCTTATACACTTGTAGTTAACCGAAAGACCAACTAGCCAGCCATATATTTAACAACCGGTTTGGTATTTGTTTTAGATCGTATTAATTGAACTAAAAGAGTACTCAGTCGTAATCAAAGGTGCACACCGCACAATGACGTCGGTGGTTTTGTTTTGATTACTTGGATGGTTGTTGGCTAGTGATCATCTTGCTAACCTATTTTTACTTTTCAGCGAGAAAACTGAAGAAACATGACTTCCATTATCAAACTGACAGCCGTATCAGGTGTTCAGGAGGAGTCGGCCCTCTGCTACTTGCTGCAGGTGGATGAATTCCGCTTCCTCCTGGACTGCGGCTGGGATGAGAACTTCTCCATGGACATCATCGATGCTATGAAACGGTAAATATGGAATCGATCTACTAATTCCGTCACTTTGCCCCTACTGTTGGCCAACTGAAACAAGTGTGTGGTGTCCTCATTTCCCTCCAGATATGTTCATCAGGTCGATGCTGTGCTCCTCTCCCACCCGGACCCCATTCACCTGGGAGCCCTTCCATACGCTGTGGGGAAACTGGGTCTCAACTGCACTATCTATGCCACAATTCCCGTCTACAAGATGGGTCAGATGTTCATGTATGATCTATACCAGGTAAGAAGAAGGTGCAGAGAAGGCACTGCATGTAAAGTTATGAATGGATCCCATGGTCACTGAGGAATTCTCAATGGTTTCATTCTTCCCACTTAGTCTCGAAACAACAGTGAAGACTTCACACTTTTCACCCTTGACGATGTGGACTGCGCTTTTGATAAAATCCAGCAGCTGAAATACTCTCAGATTGTCAATCTGAAAGGTGAGTTAGTTGCGGCCCTGTTTGGTCGGGACAGGGGTCACGCCTGTTTATGTTTATCACAGATACCAATGCTTCGCATCTTTCTTTTCACCCGACAGGGAAAGGGCACGGCCTTTCCATCACTCCACTTCCGGCCGGTCACATGATTGGAGGCACCATTTGGAAAATTGTGAAGGATGGCGAGGAGGAGATTGTTTATGCTGTTGACTTCAACCATAAGAGAGAAATGTGAGCACACAAAACACTGATAGGAAATAAGATTTGTTTGGTTTTTAGCTTTTCTGTTCACTCACACCCTGTTTCTGTATACTAGACACCTCAACGGCTGCACGTTGGAGAGCATTAGTCGTCCGTCTTTACTCATCACAGACTCCTTCAATGCAACTTACGTACAGCCACGTCGCAAACAGAGGGATGAGCTGCTCCTAAGTAAGTCATCTTCAAGATGCTTTTACGTATTAATGTCTCGAATCTTTTCAACGGTATATTTATCCAATATAAGTCATAATTTAAGTGTTGCAATCTTTTGAAAACATGTCTTCTAGTTTAACAAAATAACATTCTGCATATAATTTGAACCTCAAATTAGTCAATGATTAAATACCAATTGCAAACTGCAGTCTTTTGTATTTATAACATTTTTTTACATTCATAAGCATTTGAACTTTTCTTACTCACAGCGAATGTAATGGAGACCCTTCGTGGTGACGGCAACGTCCTTATTGCCGTGGACACAGCCGGGCGCGTGTTGGAGCTGGCGCAGCTGTTAGATCAGATTTGGAGGACAAAAGACGCCGGGCTGGGAGCGTACCCGCTAGCTCTGCTGAACAATGTCAGCTACAATGTGGTGGAGTTCTCAAAGTCCCAGGTATCAATTTTTGTACACCTTGGATTATACTGTTCTATTCCTTCCTTGTGACTTTACCTGGATAGTTCACATTCAGAATATATTTATTTGCCAAACTCAACTAATGTCCACAATGAACTGAAACCGCTTTGTTTCTGAAGGTGGAGTGGATGAGTGACAAGCTCATGAGGTGCTTTGAAGACAAGAGGAACAACCCCTTCCAGTTCCGTCACTTGACCCTGTGCCACAGTCTGGCGGACCTGGCCCGGGTGCCCAGCCCCAAGGTGGTGCTTTGCAGCCAACCGGACCTCGAGTCTGGCTTTTCCAGAGAACTCTTCATCCAGTGGTGCCAAGACGCCAAAAACTCTGTCATCCTGACCTACCGCACTACGCCTGGAACGCTGGCCCGCTACCTCATAGACAATCCTGGGGAGAAGATGCTGGATCTGGAAGTGAGGCCAACCGTCACAGTGCTAATTCATCGCGAGGGCTTTCACGCGGTCTGATTACACAGCGTCACCAAGTCATCTTTCACTCTTCTCATTATGACAGGTGAGGAAGAGAGTGAAGCTGGAAGGCAAGGAGCTGGAAGAATACCTTGAAAAAGACAAAGTTAAGAAAGAAGCAGCTAAAAAACTGGAACAAGAAAAGGAGTAAGTAGAACTAGACATGGGTCGACTACGTGCTCAAGGGGAGGATGTGTCTTTTTAATGATGCTTTAAGCCTGGCGGTGTAACAAAACCTGTAATTCACACAATTTTGCCATCTTAACAGCTAAAACAGGAAATTATGTAAAAAGCAGAAATGCAAATGGTGCACCGGAATTTTTTCAAGAGGCTATTTAAATGGAAATCTGTAAATGGGAGATGAGTCACAACGCTTCAGGGCAATATTTATACTCTGCAACTGAGCAAAAATGTGTTGCCTGTTTGCGGATGAATGAAACTTTAATGTATACATTTAACGTTTATTTCATGCACTTGCAGGGTGGATGTTGACTCGAGTGACGAGAGCGATTTGGACGACGATCTCGATCAGCCTGCCGTCGTTAAAACGAAACACCACGACCTGATGATGAAGAGCGAGGGGAGCCGCAAAGGCAGCTTCTTCAAACAAGCCAAAAAGTCGTATCCAATGTTCCCAACACACGAGGAGCGAATCAAGTGGGACGAGTACGGCGAAATAATCAGGTGCTTACAACTTGAATGCACGTCAGATTACAGAAAGACGTATACAGAGAATTTACACTGTGGAATGCTTTTATCAATCAGCCATTGTTGTGGGTTTTTTTTTCGCAGGCTAGAAGACTTTCTGGTTCCTGAACTTCAAGCCACAGAGGAGGAGAAAAGCAAAATGGAATCTGGGTTGACCAACGGCGACGAGCCCATGGACCAGGATCTCTCTGTTGTTCCCACCAAATGCATCTCCAGTGTAGAAAATCTTGAAATTAGGTCAGTGATCCTTAAGTCTGCCAGTCTCTGGGAAAGGAAAACTGCATGTTTTATTAATTTCCAGTCTTTTAAGAAATCTCATCTGTGGGGATATTGAGCAATTCCGCTGATTTAAAAAAAAACAACGTAACGCTAACTTCATTCTTCTACAGAGCGAGGATAATGTACATAGACTACGAAGGTCGCTCTGATGGCGACTCCATCAAGAAGATTATTAATCAGATGAAGCCCAGGCAGCTGGTGATCGTCCGCGGGCCGCCGGAAGCCAGTCTCGACCTGGCCGAGTCCTGCAAGGCCTTCAGCAAGGACATCAAGGTCTACACACCCAAACTGCAGGAGACCATAGACGCCACCAGTGAAACGCACATCTACCAGGTCTGAGAGCTTGCTTTTTATTTGAGTGAATATCGTATCCATAAATCTGTTTAATGGATTTGTGAAGCTAAAATATTCTGCTCTGAAATATTAAAACCTTTTTTTTTATTTTTTTATTTTTTTAAACCATTTGGCAAATGAGACAATTAGTGCACTGCTACGAGGTTGTTTTCTTCGGCAAAGCACAGAAGGCAAACCTCTTCCTCTCGCCTCATCTTCTCATCATCTTCTATCTCATCGGTGAAGGTGCGGTTGAAAGACTCCTTGGTGAGCTCCCTGCAGTTCTGCAAGGCCAAAGACACGGAGCTGGCCTGGATCGACGGCGTGCTGGACATGCGCGTGGTGAAGGTGGACACGGGCGTGATGCTGGAGGAGGGTGTGAAAGAGGAGACGGAGGACGGCGAGGTGGCCATGGACGTCGCCCCAGACCTCGACATCGACCACAACCCTACTGCGGTGGCAGCCCAGCGGGCCATTAAAAACCTGTTTGGGGAGGACGAGAAGGAGGCGTCGGAGGAGAGCGACGTCATCCCCACGCTGGAGCCACTGCCAGCACAAGAGGTGAGGCGGAGGGAGACACTAGCAGTTGTAGAAATGATCCAAAATACACAAAAAAAACACGTGACCTCATTTCAAGTCTTCTAAATTTCTAACTGTTTAAACAATAGAGCAAAGAGGTCATTTTAGGCCCCATAAACTTCTTCAGCCTGTGGCAATTCTAATGTTGTTTTTTTTAATGTCGGTCCATGTTGTCGGGAGGTTTGGGAGACAGTTTGCCCAAGGTAGGTGGCAGAGAAGAGCAGTCAACAGATTTCCCATTGGGCTCTGATTTAGAAGGCATTGAAACGCAGTTACACTAATGTGTGTCCACAAGGGCATATAAGCACTGCAGACACCCTCCCTCAGTCTAATTGCCACTCTTTTTCTTTTCTTTGTTCTCCCTCTAGATATCTGGACATCAGTCGGTGTTCATCAACGAG